TTAAAGTGTGAACCAATTTAATCATCTCAACAATGCTAGAAGGCAGCTAAACTTACTCTTCCCATTTACAGATGCTGTGCCTGAGGCCCAGATAAGCAAAGGAACTTGCCCCAGGATACCCAGCCAGGAAGTGAGTCCCTGCACATGACCACCTCTCTTGTAATTAGCTACTTTCATAGTAAGATTTTCATGTTCACTCACATTTTTCTCGTGCATATGTTTAAGGATAAATTTTTTTAAATCAACTGTCAAAAATTCCCAAGTAGGAAATCTAATTCAGAGCCACAAACTGCATTTTATATCTCTTTTCTTGAAATCAAACGTCTTAAAAATTAGTAGTGCCTAAGATGAGAATGGCTACTATTAAAACAAACTAACAACAACAACAAAAAAACAACCAGTAAATGTTGGTGAGGATGTGGAGCAATTAGAACTATGTGTATAATTGGTGGGAATGTAAAATGGTATGGCCACTACAGAATGCAGATGGGAGTTCCTCAAAAAAGTAAACATAGGCCAGAGATTTAGCTCAGTGGTTCCGCCACCTGCCTCGCAAGCACAAGGACCCAAGTTCGATCCCTGGTACCAAAAAAAAAAAACTAACTAAAAAGTAAACATAGAATTCTCAGATGATCCAGCAATTTGACTTCTTTGTATTTACCCAAGAGAACTGAAAGCAGGGACTCAGGTCTGTACAGAGCACCAAAGTTCACAGCAGCATTATTGACAACTGCCAACAGGGGGCAACAACCCAACTGTCCATCAACAGGAGAATGGAAAAACAAGATATTGTATGTACACACACGCAATGGAATATTATTTGGCTTTAAAGGCTGCTACAACATTTATCTATGCTACAGCATGGATGGACCATGAAGGTACTATGCTATGTAAAATAAGCCAGACACAAAATGGTGAATACTGTATGATTCTACTTATATGAGGGACATAGAGTAGTTAAATTCACAGAGACAGAAAGGAGAATGACATTTCTCAGGAGCTAGAGAGAGTTGTGTAAAGGGCATAAGGGCTGGGGGTGTAGCTCAGTGGTACAGCCCCAGCCTATGGTACCAAAGGCCATAGGTTCAACCCCCAATGCATGCCTATAATACTAGCACTTGAGAGGCTGAGGCAGGAGGATTGCCATGAGTTCAAGGCAAGCTTGAACTACATAGCAAGACCTTTGTCTCAAAAAAGAAAAAAAATTTAAAATAAAAGGTACAAAGTTTCTATTTGGGATGATTAAAAAAGCTCTGGAAATGGACAGCCGCTCAACACTGTGAATGCATGTACTTAATGCCACTGTACACTTAGAAGTAGTTTAAATAGCAAATTTTATGCTATATATCTATTTATCACAATTTAAAAATTAGCAGTGACGAACAGACACAATCTATATTTTAAAAAATAATCTCATGTAGAAGATGGCTAATGCCTGTTTGGTTGGCATAGATAGGATCTGTCAGACTGATCATATGGGACAAAAGACTCTGCTAGTGTATGATGAATTTGCACCTGACTAAAGATCATTCTTTCTTGGAGCTCAAGGAAAGGGTATGTGTTTGCATGGTAAAACAAAACAGTTATTTTGTTTTCACAACGAAAGAATTCTGTTTTCAGATTCAGTGAAGGAATACAGTGGCAGATCATTCCGAATGATGCATAATGGTTTTTTTTAACGGCATATGTGGCTGAGGAGCTAATATTTAAATAGGCTGTGTCCGCTGTGCAAATTCAGATAACTTCAAACAAGAAGCAAGTTTCACTGGGAAAACCCTACTCCCAAACCAAACCCTGAACTCTGACCCAACGTTCCCTGACCCAGGCTCCACAACCCTGAATACTAAGTGCCATTTTGGAAACAACGGCATAATCTCCAACAAATCAACAAAGCTTTGAAATGAAGCTCCTTAAAAACCCTTCTTGTGACAGTCGTCTTTCAGAGACACCATCAAAGAATGGTAATACAGACTTCTGCTGGGAAGGTGCTATAGTTTAGATCTGGAATCTTCTCCATAGTGTCGTGTGCTGTAAAGGCTTGGTCTCCTGCCCAGAGCACTATTAGGACATGGTGGAAACTTCTAAGGTGATTCCTACGGGGAAGCCTTCCCCAAACCAAGAGCGTGCCTCTAAGGGAACTGAATATTGTGTTTCCCCACAAGCTCAAAAGCAACAGGGTAAACCAACCATGGTCTGGGATTTCCAAAACTGTGAGCCAAAATAAATGTTTCCTCTTATCAAGTTGATTGTCTCATGAATTCCATTACAGCAATATGAAGCCAACTAATACAGAAGGGTTTCCTTTGCCACATTGGTTGTGTTATATGCTACCTTCTGAGCATGAGTCAAGACTCTTCAGAAGAATCAAACAAAAGTAGTTAAATAAGTAGACTGATGAGATTGAAAAATAAGAGCTTGTGCCTGATAATATACCAACCAGACTGGATGAAGAGGAATAGATAATCTATTATAGCAATGAAGTACAGACTTCTTGCTTCAAATTCTTAAAAGCCACTGTGGCAGGCAGCCTCTGATATGGCCCTCAATGGCTCTACCTCCTGCTATTCACATCCTTGTGTAAGGTTCTCTCATAGTGGAAAGGAGCAAGTTAAAATATTCTCTGGGACCAGGCAGGCAGCGTAAATGTGTGAGTCAGGTTGGGGCAGGGGTGTGAGCCTTTAGGAATGATGTGGCCATGGAAAAGTAGAGAGCTCATGCCCTCCCTAAAAAATAAAAATTAAAAAAAAAATTTAAAATATGGTTGAGTGTTAAGCAAACCAAGTCTGCCTGTTAAATTCAATCCACCAAACATGAAGTTGTAATCAATCCCTCTATCCACCAACATAAGCAATAAAAGGCTCATGATGCCTAGATATATGTGGGGTACTTAGGCCTTGCCATATGCTTTGCAGATGCTGGACATTTTTGTGAATGGGAATTCCTCACATATCCATTCATTCAATTCAGAAGTGTTTATGGAGAACCTACTATACCTACATACTATGCTATGTACCAATCCTCTTGTACCAACTTTTGTACTTTAAATCCTTCTATTTTGTACCTTTCCAAGTTTGGGTTACTTGTATCAGTACTGTATTTGCAGGTAATGCAGATCCTCAATTTTAGAAATGAGTTCCAGTCCCAAATCCACAAATAAAGAATTATTATAATAACAGCATATTCATGAAAAGCAAATTACTTATCTTGGCGTTTAACATCCTTGTAACTATTCCTGTACTTTTAATGTCAACAGAAAAAAGTAATGTCTAAGTCTGGCTGATACAGTAAATTAATGTTAATAACAGTTTTGACACCAATAGCAAGTTTTAAAAAGGAAAACCTCCAGTTTTTAAGCTGGGTTTCATTTCTTAAAAATCACCTCAGCTCGTTGTCACCAGACTCCCCAAGAACAATTCTAGCTACTATTTCACCTTCACTGGGAGCCTGAAACAATGAAGATCTATAAAGTTTCTGTGAAATTATACCCTTTCCCTGCCTTTGCTCACCCCGGGGAGAGAAAACATCCACCCCTTGAGTTACAATGTGAGGGCTTCTCAGCAGAGACACATTTCTGAATCCCTATAAGCAAATGAATACCTATGTGGTTATATTAAAAACTACTACCTACTGCTAACTGTTTCCTCAGAGGCTGAACATCAGTTATAAAAATGGGAACTACTAAATCAAATGGGAAATTTCAGACTTTATGTTTTAGAGATCAGAGAACAGGGTCTTCATTTTATCTATCTTTGTTCCACAGTGTCATGCATGGACAAGAACATTAATAAATGTCCCGTGAATTAAATCATCTGAACTGAAAATTTCAACAGGCCTGGGGAAAACAAAAAGGAGCCCAGTGCCTGGCTCTTCCACTCTTGCCAGCTCTTTCTGGAAATTATTAAGGCTCAAGCAGCCCTCGCATACTTCCTAGCTCTCTCAGATCCAGCTGATGCGTAGGATGGGGTTGGCCTATAACACCCACCTCTCTAATTACTTAGAGACCACTGGGCTCTAAGCAACCCAACTCTTCCAGCTTCCTGAACATTGCTCTTTTTCTATTACTAATTGAGTGTTTTACTTTTAGATAATCCTATAATGAATGAGCTCAAATGAGCAGAGGCAGCAGTGACAACTCATCAATAAAATAATTAAGTCAAAGTGGATTTTGTTAGAAACTTCTCATTTCATAATGGGAAACCTAGGCTACTTAAAACCAGGGAAATCAAATGGAATCATTTCTTTTTGTTTTAAAAGGAAAGTCAGCTTTGAAAGTATTTGTTTCATACAGCATTCATTAACTCTGCTGACAATATTGGTTATTTATTCCAACAGGGCACGTGCAGTAGAAATACCAGAATTTCCTTTTCCCTTCATATAGTTATCATTCACAATTGTCCATAGAATGTAGACAAGGAGGTGATCTATATTTTCTCTCTCAGTTCATTATCACAGTCCTCTAAGACTTTTGTTTTTTATCCTAATACTTTCATGCCATGGGAAAATCAGGCCATGATGGATACAGATGTACAACAAACTTCTATCTCATGCAACCAATGAAAAAGGAGTGTTCCTGACAACAAAAGATAATTGGGGCAGGTACATTTCTTTTGCATTCTCCTCACCCCAACATAAATGACTGTAGTTGAGCTAAGAGCCCATCAGCCTTATTTTGCAACACACACTCAGTGCTGCCACTGGTCAACCTTGCCCCCAAGCTTTGCATCCTCCCCAGTTGGGAAACTGAGATGAGCTACAGAAAGAAACTTTGCACTAATAAGTATACAGTGAATAATTAATGGCTTCCAAGCTCTGGACAAAGTATAGGAACAGAGACCAGTCCTGGCTTCATGTGCTATTTGGTGCCACATTGAGGAGTAAAGTAGTAACTAAAGAGGGAAGTGACATGGCTTGAAGTCATCTAGGTCTAGCCCAAGTGGAGACCACATGAAGTAGGGATGCTCTTCACCATGAAAAGGGGGGTAAGTGAGATAATTACATACCCATGCTCCATCAGGGCCAAACAGTTCTAGGAAGTTGCCAATGAATTCCCTCGACTTCTCTTCCCACTTTTGAATTAGATCATGGCTCTTTTCTTCCACTCGGTTAACAAATTCCTTTGACCTTTCCTCCACGTTCTTGACTTTTTCTTTCATCTTGTCCACTTGGTTCTGGAAACGGTACTTCTTTTCCTGGTCAAAATTTACGGGAGAAATGGATTTATCTAAGAAGGCAGGAATGAGAGATCAATCATCTACCTTGATGGTCACATTTTGTGTCAACCTGAATCAGTTTCTAATGTAAACGGTCAGGATGTTGTCATTTCCCGAGGGCTCGATTGACGGGAAGGCGCACCTCTTGTAAGAAAAGTCATTTGTCATTAATCTATTTGCATATGTAAAGGGAAGTACAAGTGGTTTTAATATTTTAATAGGTGTCTATGAGTTGGATTTACTTATATAAAAGGAGAAACCATTCAATCCTCAGCAGTGAGAAAGCAGCGGCCCTTTTGTACTCTACTGGGCAAATATCTCCACTCAATTCTGCTGGGACTCAGACAAAACTGAGTTGTCTACAGAGTGGCTGGTCAGAGGCTGCCTGAGTCTTCTGTGTTACTGGGACATTGTGTTTATGTGTTTGTTTGTTTGTTTGTTTGTTTTTTGGTACTGGGGATTGAACTCGGGACCTTGCCAGGCAGGTGGCGGAACTACTGAGCTAAATCCCCGGCCCCTGCTGGGACACTGTTAAAGCCAATATTGCTTACAAAAACGGGCTACTGATTGGGCTTTAAAATTCATGGGTTATATTAAAATTTTAATTGTAATGACATTTTCTGCTAAGCTTGATGAACTGCATCACTTTCTTTAGTGATGAAGAAAGCTATTGTTCTGATAACTTCTCTGAACTTGGAGTTTTTCCTTATAGCCTTTACAAAGCAATGTTGTCTACCCATGTACCCAGAAGCCATTGTGTGTTAAGCAAATCATGTATCACCTTTAAATCTCAGTTTCCTGAACTGTAAAATTGGGATGATAATCATCCCTACCCCATAGGAGTGCCGTGATAATCAGGTAAGAAAATGCACGGATGTCCTTGCTACAGAGCCTGCCATTTAGTAAGTGCTCAATGTATAATGGGTGTTTCATTGGTATTAAGTGACCTAGGCATTTATCTGAGTTTTGTGATGAGTGTGCCATCAAAAGAATAAAAATAACCGAGGCTGGGCAAGGTGGCACACGCCTGGAATCCCAGCACTCGGGAGGCTGAGGCAGGAGGATCACTGCAAGTTTGAGGCCAGCCTCGGCTACCTAGTGAGTTCAAGGTCAGCCTGAACTGCATAGTGAGACCCTGTCTCAAAAAAAAAAAAAAAGAACGAAATTAACATGAGACAAAAGGTCTCCCCCCCATGAAATCATGGTATGTTTCTCCTAAAGGGACAGTAAGACACATTGTTCTTCTTTACTATGTGGAACTTAAGCCCATTTTGCTTTTCAGAATTTTCTGAAACACCTTGAATATTGTAAAACTGGGTCAGGATCCCTGACTTGATCTTCCAAATCTTACTACAGCCTCAGAGTGTGGTATGACCTATGTGTATTGCCACTTGGCTACACACACACACACTCACACACACACACACACACACACACACTATAGAAAGTCACCCTGTCTTTTACAATTCACTATGTGACATTAGGTAAATTGTTCAACCTCTCTGGGCCTCTGTTTCCTTGCCTCTGTGTTGGATAGAGTAATTATATCCACCCTCTTAGGCTTATCATGAGGATTAAATGAGATAATCCAGGAAAAACACTTTGATGGGCACATGATAAGCTCTCAGTAAGTGTTAGCTGTTGTCTTTATGTCTTCCTCTCCCATAGTTCATTCTGCACTGGAAATGGTTATGTGTATAGCTCACAGGACCAGCCCGGAATAGTAGAATGAGCACTGGGCTAGGAGTCATGAGACTGGGAGGCTACTTAAGGGAGTTCGTGGTCAAGTGCCCTGCCTGGACTCAGCTTTCCTCATCTCTGGATCAGGGGACTGGGGCTGGATGACTGGCCCCCGTCAGGTCCCTGCCACTTCTCAGGTTCTGTGATGCATCTGTATGCCCATCCAACACATTCAATTTCATCTCAGAGCTGCAGCCAGGTTTGTTGTCACCAAAAGGCAGCGAGCATATCCACACTGTGCATGGTTCCCTGAGCTAAGTGGCTTATCTAAAGACCATTTAAGGAGAGTGAGTAATAACTTTTGGAAATGGCTCACCATGCTTGGATGGTTGACTGAATTCAATTTAAAAGAACAGACAGTTTAAAATTTATTGAAATAACCAGAGCTTTATTCTCTGTAAGATGCTAAATAATCACTTTGACTGAATTCTTTTCAGCCACTTGTTCTAGTGCCACTGGAACCCAACATTTTCCATTTTGTTGCCCAACTTGTACTAGACTCCCAACACTCTCTGCCTCATGAGGATGATTAATAATCATTGATTTATGATTAATAATTGCCTCTTATTTTGAAGGTAGGTACCAACGATCAACTATGTAAGATAATTATGGTGGATAATTATGGCGGGATAATTATGGTGACCTATCATTTATAAGTACCTAGTTTTGAAGCCAGATCACTCTTTGAAAATATAGTATCTATTTGGGGGGTTAGAATTCTTTATGTATGGAGAGCTCTGGTTTTAATTAAAGATATCAGCTTCTCAGAGACAAGGAAATCCAGTTGTCTGGACTCACTCACATCACCTCCAGCCACTGAGCTGCCCTCTTGCTTTGTAACAGCTTGTTTTCTTCTTTTAAAGATTATCTTAACATTTGCCTTATTATTAAACTTACACCAGCTCCATGGGAATAATATGGTAGAAATACAAAAGAAGTCAAAGATTTTAGGCTTTTATTTAAGTAGCTATAATTTCTCTAGACAAAAAAAAAAGGTTGTTAAGCTTTCTAATAAGCATCTGTAAGGCCTTAATAAAATGAAAAATTTTAAATGTTAAAACAAGAAAGCATTTTCTCTGGGCTTAGCATTTCATTGGCCCTGTCAACTCTTGCCTTTCACAAGGAGCAGATCTTCTGGAAAGCCTGCACTCAAATCTGAAAACTGGGGTGGGGGGGTGAGGAAGCTCTTTTATGAAACATGAAGCTTGGGCCAGGGATTTAGCTCAGTGGTTCCACCACCTACCTCGCAAGCACAAGGACCAGAGTTCGATCCCCAGTACAAACAAAACAAAACAAAACAAAAAACCCATGAAGCTTGCTACCTACATTCCTTGGCTAACTTACATTATCTCTTTGGACTTTAGTTTTCTCATCTATAAAATGGGGATAAAATACAGCATTGAATCGTTATGTGGGTTACAGTAAGTGCAAAGCATTAAGGACATTGCGTAGCATACAGTAAGCACTCAGGAAATGACCACATGGCTGTAGTGGTGGCATGGTGTGGTGGTCCTCAGTGGGTATGGGGTGGCACACTCACATTTATAAAGCTGACATTCAGTTCCTTGGCTGTGTACCCTCTCTGGAGGTTGCGTCGGGCATAAACATCATAGTCACGGACGATTCTAGTGATGATATCTGATGTGGAGATGCCTTCTGTTCTCTGCGTTGGAACAAACATTCCTGTTCAAGCAGGAAAGAAGAGACAAAACTAAGATCACCTCAATCAACTCATTTCCTGTCATGGCCCTCCTTCCCAGGTCAAAGTTGGAGCTCCCAGGTGGGCCAGTGAGGCCTTCGGATCTGGTTCCTACTGGCTCTTCCTGCCTCAGTTCCATACACATTCTCCCTACCATAAACACAGTGTGTTCATCATCCTGGGCTTAGTCCCAGGATGCACCAAGCACTTGCCTGGCTCCTGGTTACCTTCATTCTGACCTCTCCCTCGCTGCTTTGAATGCCCCTTCCCTCCTATATCAACTACAGAGTTCTTCCTCATCCTTATGGTCTGGCTTCATGCTTATGCCCTGGAGAAGTCTTTCCTGACAGCACCAGGCAGACTCCATTGCATTTTCGACATAGATATGTTTTCTGTTAATGAAAGTATTCTTCATATCTGCCTGCATTTAGAAATGAACATTTCAAATGCACAGATTATGTCTTAAACATCCTTGCATCTCCAGCCCCCAACTCGGTGCCCCTGTGTATGGCATATGGAAGGTGCACAATAAATGCAAATCAAATGAGTAAGCGAACAAAGACTAATTGAGTCAATGAATTAGTCAGATCACAGCACTCCCCCTTCTTCCCCAAGGAAGTCTGTGTCACATTGTGCTGAAGAAAAAGAAGAAAAATTATACTATTTTTGTTATCTCTGATCTAAGGGCATGTTTGTGGGGTGCTAAATGATTTTATCTCCTGAGAGCTGTCTACTCTGCATGGTAACTTCACCACTCAAAGGCCCTTTCATCTGGAACATATGGGACTGAATAAAAATAAACAAGCTCAGGACATCAAGTTCTAACAATTCAATTAGATTTCCTTAAACTCTTCAAAGATATATTTGGGTTACCAACCAATACAGACTATAAAGACATCACAAACATTAACAAAGCAAAAATTGGATTTATGTTCAAAATTCTGTTGTCAATCAAATGACATGTTGGCAAATGAGATCTTTCATACCCTGTATCATTACAACCACTTAGAGACATTTAGCGGGGTGTGGTGGTGCACACCTGTAATCCCAGCACTGAGACTGAGGCAGGAGGATCACAAATTCAAGCTCAATCTAAGCAATTTAGTAAATTAGTGAGACCTTATCTCAAAATTAAAAAATTAAAATTATAAAAGGACTGGGGATGTAGCTAAGTGCAAAGGCCCTGGGTTCAGTAACGAGGAGGAAGAGGAGGAGAAGGAGAAGAAGGAGAAGGAGAAAAGACATCACATGTTGGACACCATGACAGAGCATTTGGGGACAAGAGCACCAGGTTCTCGGTTTATAGATTTGGGCAAGCAACTCAAACTCTCTGAAGGCAAACTGCTTACCCTTAGTTTCCGCAGCTGAGGAATGAGGTAGCTGGACAGGATCTATGACATTTCCTTCTCCCCCACTTCCACACCAATCAATTTCTAATCACTAACTTACTTCTCAGATGATTCCCCTTTTCTCCACCTTCTATCCTCAGCCAGTCTAACACCATCTTGTTCAAAGATTACAGCGAGGGCCTCAAAACCAGTCTCTCCAGCTGTATGTTGTATGTGTCGTGTGTGTGTGTGTGTGTGTGTGTGTGTGTGTGTGTGTGGTGGAGTGTTGGGAATGGAACCCAGGGCCTTGTACACCCTAGGCAGTGTCTCTACCATCATCTACATTCCCAGCCCCAGCAAGGTCATTTTTGTCCACTTCAACCCACGTAGCAAGATCCACAGAGTGATCTTTCTAAATGCAAGTCTGACGCCTGCTCAACACTCCTTTACTAACTACCTCTTGTCCTCTGGATTTAGAGTCAAATCCTTGACTTGGTACTGTAGCGGCTTGCATGATCACGTCCCCATAGTACTACTTTCTCAGACCCTCTTCCCTTCACTCTCTAACCCCAGGCCTCTGTACCTTACAACTTTAAGCTTTGCTCTCGCTGGAGTCTGTGGAGTTGAACAAAACGCTGACCCTGCTTCAGCCCAGCCACATTGTACTTCTTTAGTGTCCTGAAAGTGTTGGCCCTCCTCCCTCCACCCTGCCACAAAGGCAATCTCTATCTGGTGAATTTTTGGTCATCTATTGGGTTTCAGCTTTAATGTCACTTCCTCAAGAAAATCTCTCAGCCCCCAGACCGAGTCTTTCTGGTTATTAGTCCCTCCCGTGTTCCACTGCCCTTTCCCTTCAGATACTGCAAGGCCTTCATAGAACAATTCGCTCAGTGGCTGTCTTGGAGCTGCACCCTCTTGCTTCTCTTCTTGGCCCCCAGGGACAAGCAGGCACTATAGCAGTATTTGTTAAATGAATGAATATTGACCTCTCAGTGCCCTTTCAAATCCAGTTCTCTCTGAATTTTTCCGTCTCGCAGCCCAACTAGGGTGTCCCTTTGCAGCTTTCATTGATATCACCTGTACATTGACAGCATCGGCAGCAGGGGTATGCTGCTGATATTAGGGACAGAGCAATAGGCTGAAAGGACAGAGTTGGGGCTTGCCACTAAATCAGACTTTTAAAAATCACCTTCTTGGAGGGTGAAACCAAACACATAAAACTAAATAGAAGACAGAGCGTGCAAACATCTAAACACATGGATATAAATAGCATTATGGTTCTAAACTAGGGGGCCTTGGGTGACATCCCTACCTTGGTGGGAGTAGCACGGAGTTTTCTGGTGAGAAATACAACCCATCTTTTAGCAGGCGGATATTTCACCCACACTCCTGCTGCTGGAATGTGAAGACAATTTTCTAGCTACTAACAGATATTAGCAAGGCATTTCAACGTTGGTGACATGAGCTCACCCTTCCTTTGAAGCCAGGGGGTGAGGTTCTGTGGTTGAGTAGCTGAAAGTAGATTTGGGGTTGGGAAGAGCTTTGCTTTGGCTGGTGGGGAGGTAGGTCTCTGAAAGAAGCCAAGCCCTCTGCTGACATGATGAGGCACCAGGCTTCCTCCAAATCCTAATTATTGCTCTGCTAAAAATATTCAGTAATGAGCATGATCAGAGAACCTTTTTTATCATGCTTTTCAGAATTGCGGCATTTGGTTATTTGCTATTTTAAGAAGCAGCAAAGCACATGTTAATGAAGGAAACTTTCAATAGTAGTAGGCAATATTAGAATGATGATGAGTAATGTGGACCTTACAGTCTATTTAATCTTGGCTCCATCATTTCATCTAGCTTTGCTACAGGATTTTAACATGTAGCTCTGACAAGCAGAGCAGTGTTGGAAAGCTTAATTCACACCCTTCATACCTTTGGCTTCATTTAAAGTGATTTTTGACTTTTAAAATAAACCAAGATTAGAGTATAAAAGCCAAATATGGGTGCTTAGGCCATTTTTGGGCATCTTTTTCCCACAATGAACTCTGGCCTTCTCTACCTAGGCCTCAAGTAGAACTTTCCTGTTACTCTCTCTCTCCTGGTGAGGACTCAGCAGAGCAAATTCATGGGGCAGAAGGAAAAGTCCTTGTACATATGAAAAGTCATACATAGTCTTAGGCCTGTGCTCCCAGGGCAAGCAAAATACCCACCTGACTATTCAATTTGGAAAGGGAATTGTGGTAGATTATGGCCACAGCTCCCCTCCCCTTGAATTTGGGCTGGTTCAGTGCTTGTACTTAATAGAATGTGGCATGACACTGTATGACTCCCAAGGCTACATCAGAAGAGGTTGTGTGGCTTCTCTCAAGACTGCTTCCTCTCTAGACAGTTCCTCTCAGCAGCCTTGCTGTGAGAAGCCCAAGCAACATGGAGAGGCCACATGCAGGTGACCCAGTGACAACCACAACTGAGCTCCATGCTGAAAGCTAGCACCCAGGGCCAGCCATGTAAGTGCGCAATCTGGGAGCCCCAGCCCAGCTGAGCCTTCAGACGACTGCAGCCCCTGCCAACCTGACAACTACTTTGAGACACCCAAGCAAGAAGCATCCAGCCACACCCCTGTTAAAATCCTGCCCCTCCAAATCAGGAGCAAAATAAAGTCACTCAACTTTGGGAGTCATTGTGTTATGCAATAGGGATGCTGGATTGCCAGAGTTAGAAAAATGTTGGACTTGTTCCTACACTGAGACAACTGGAATTTGACATTTTACCCCATTAAATCAGGAAAGCAACCTATTCTTAGCTCACTGGAGGCACTCACCCAGAAAGAAAAGCAGTACCATATTGTTGTTCCTACAGTACAAGGTAGCTGAGGAATGCTCACCCAGGAAGAGTGATTCAGTTAACTCTAGGGGTGACAGCTGCACCCCAAGCCCTGGTCTACATCCCTGCTGCTCCAAATAAGGTCTATGGACCTGCAATCTGGGCGCTCATTAGAAATGGGAATGGCCACACCAGACCTACTGAATCCCAATCTGAATTCTCACAAGAGCCTGCAGATGATGTGTTGGCTGGCACATTTACATTTAAAAAGCAGTGTTCTACACCAGGTCCTTACAGAGTTCAAGTACTTTGTTGCTCAGGTTAATGCCTGTATAAATACCTAAGTGGCATCTGTGCCATGAATGAGCCTTAGCATATGTTAGAGAGGCTTTTTAGAAGCTGCTTGGGAGACACCTGAAATTCCAACACCATATATATATATATATATATATATATATATATATATATATATATATGGAGAGGGGGGCAAAAAATGTATACATCAGGAAAAGAAAAATCCATATAAATATTTTAATACTAAATTTATCACGATACCATGAGATGAATAGAAGTTACCTTTGGCCTCTACAATTACTCTTGTAATTGCTCAAAGTGTTGACCATTAGCTTCCAGACATTTATTAATCTTGGGCCGGGGATTTAGCTCAATGATTTCACCACCTGCTGCGCAAGGGCAAGGACCCGAATTTGATCCCCAGTACCAAAAAAAACAAAAACCAAAAACCAAAAAAACCAGACATTTATTAATCCAGCGAACTGCTGAAGAGTGTACACATTTTTTGATGATCCCTTCTTCTGCCTCATTATTTGCTGTGGTGGACAAGTGAACACAGGGGATAACTCACCTGCTTCCTTTATATGCTTGTAAACGTCATCCGAGCCGGCAGAAGAGTATGGGATGTCATCATGAGCCACAAAGTCAATCTGTTGGAGAGAAGAGTGATGTCACCACTGGGACAGATGTACTTATCTGTGGATTTAGAGGGGAATGGTGACCCCCAAATGCCTTTGTGTATCTGAATCCTTGAAAGAAAGGTATTTCCAACTATCTCTATTTCCATGAGATGATGGTAACTGAGAAAAACAAATGTTTGGTTCCTCTCCTTTGGTGGTCTCTCTCTTCTTCTGCCTCCGATAGTAGGTTTTCTTGGCCTTCTGTACTTCTGCCTATAAATGTTCTACTTCAGAAGACTCATTTCTCAGGTTTTAATCATGCCTGCTATGATAAAGAACCAAAATTTCCATTTCCTACCCCATTGATGGCAATAGGCCTTTACACTTTGGTCATATTTTATATTGAGAAAAGGAATTTGTCTCTTTTCTCATTTGATCCTCATAACCTTGTGAGATGGGTATGATCCTCATAACCAGTACTTCAGTTAGGACACAAGGTACTGACACTAGATAACTCGTTCAACTTGCCCAATGTCACACAGCTTGTTAGTGGTTTGGAAAAGGAGTGGGCAGCCAGGGAACCAGGCCAGGGTGTTTTTTTTAACACCCACTATACCCCTCTTTAATACTTTTGCTGTCACTTTAAAAATCAACTTGTCCTATATTTAATTCATCTTCCTGAAAATTAGTGCCTCTTTGCAGTGGCACCTCTATTTTCTCAGCTGACCTAGGCCAAAATCTTGGAGTTGACTTTTGTTCCCTGTGTCCTTCTCTCTCCACATCCCATAGGGCACAGGTTCCATTGGAGTGTGTGTGCATGTGTGCATGTGTGTGTGTGTACAGGCCCTTCACTTCCTCTCCCTCGCTGCTATACTAAATCCAGGGACTTGCCACCTGGATTATTGACACCAACTTGTATCTGGACTTCCTCTCTGTAGGCTTCCTCCTTTCCAAGCTGTCCTGCTGTCACATGGGTTGTCCTCCTTAAACAGTTTTCTTCTGGTTTTCCTCAAACCTACTAATCTTCATTCCTGTCTCCTACTGCATCAGGTAAATGCTCCTTGCACAGCTTTTAAAGCCTTTTATAATGAAACTTTACTTTACCTTGAGAGGTGGTTTAGAGTAGGAGTTTAATTTTCCAGGGTATGATTCATGCCCTATCAGTTATTAGCTGTAACTATTAAGTTGGTGGGAAAGATTCAATCAAGATTTCTCTACCTTGGTACTAGTGACTTTGGGGTCTGGATAATTTTTTGGTTATGTGTGGCTGTCCTGTGTATTGGAGGATGCTTAGCAGCATCCAAAGCCTTTATCCACTAGATGCCAGTAGCACCCTCTAGCCATGACAACCAAAAACATCTCCAGACGTTAACAAATATCCCTTCGGGGGCAAACTCACTGGAGAAGCATTGGATTAAGAGGTATAATTACCTGACAGTACTCAAAAGTAATAACTGGTATATAGTAAGTACTCAATAAATGGTTATTATTGCTATTACTAATTCTATGCTCTGGACTCAAACTTAGTTCCTCTTCTCCCTCTCCAATGTACAATAACAACAACATCTTAGGGTAGCCATGAGATCGAATTTAACTCATAATAATAGAAAAACCCTTAGCACAGTGCTGGGCACATTGTAAATACTCAATAGATGGCAGCCATCATTATCATTATTAGCATCCCCTATAATGCCTATCACATGTTGAACATATGATAGATGCTTAGTAAAAATGTATTAGTGATTACTAAAAGTAAATCATATTGTAGTTTTTCCTTTTTCTTTTTATTCTCACTAGGAAATTGTCTCCTCTGCTATTACCCATGCACATTTATCAGTGTTCTCTATTCTCTTCTGCAATGCGAATTTAAAAATAGAAAAGAAAATTCTTAGAACAGCTTAATCTTATTTTTTTGTACTGCTTATAAAAGGAAAGAATAGCTCCTAATGTGAGGCTGGCAGGAAGATGCAAAGCACATAATTTGATGCAGATCAAAAGAGTTTCTCATGTTTTCAACTAATAAATATTTTATGTCAGTAGGTATCTCAGGGTCACAAAATCAGAGATATGAAGATTTTCCTTAAAGGCTGGCCCTTGACCTTCTGGGTAAGATGTGTATATATTTGCTCCATGAAAAAGGAGGCCTGTGAATCTGTAAGCACCAATAATAATGGTGGTAGTGACGACATTCTTAGAGCTTTTGCTGTGTATGGGCCGGCCAGTTTTCCAAGTGCTTTATTTAGATTCTCTCATGAGATTCTCAAAATGGCCCTAAGATGAAGATACCAATATCATTCCATTTCACAGATGAAGTTAAGTGAGTATAATATAGTTAAATATCTTGCTCAAGGTCCCACAGTTAGAAGAATTTGGACCTGGGTGGTCTACCTCTAGCATCTGTAGTCGAGGAAATGAGAATATAGAGGTCTTCAGGCTTGGACGGAAGAGTGACGGCATATGACAGTTCCTACATCAAGTGACGGCATATGACAGTTCCTGAAATTGGAAGGGTTAGGGCTTTCCGCAATTTCAGTTGCAGAACCAGATTCCTAATCCTGCTACTTAGAGAACATGGAATGACAACAAGAGGTACCTTGTGTTTTTCCAGAAACTCTGGCGTGAGAGTCCACGGAGCATCTCTGATGACTTCATCCACGTAGCGACAGTGTCTGAGAGCTTCATATCTCTCTGCTTCATTCATCACGGTAAAACCTTTGAATTTGTGGGTAAGATCATCACTGCAAACTGAAATAGCAAAGTCTATTAGATGCTGCTGCTAGCCATCCTGGTGCGCACATGCCTTCTTCAGCAAGACAAAGGGAGCACAGCCTCGCTAGATACTTGGCATAATTGAACTCAGATTTTTATAGGAACAAAGGATCAAGAGACCAAAGCAAACTTAAATCCACCAAGATTTCAGAATTTCATTTTAGTGCTAATTACAACTGCATTCTCTACTGAGACTTTTATTAAAATTATTCTCCACGCTACCTGATCTGACTTTCATATCTTTTTTTATCTCCCTACCCCTTCCTTTAGTGAAATTTACTATTCAGAAATAAAATGACCAGATGAACAGAGAAAGGAGAGAGAGAGAAGAAGACGGTTTGATCAATTAGTCCCATTTCATCTGCTAGATGATTTATACTTAACCCTAGTGTCACACACAGACACACATACTCCTCTTCCCTGGATTGAGGTCCAATCACTAAACATAAGGCCACACAATTAAGAGGAGAAAGTTTAAAAATTAGAAGGTCTGATCCAGCAGAGTTCACCCCTCCCATGTTGCTTACCTTTCTCAGATCTCAGGCTCCTGAGCCCTCAAATTCAGACTGTTACATCCTTCACTATTGGCCTTAGGAAAGACTTTTTTGAGAATTTACATAAAAGTGCTTTGAAATAAACTGAACAGTAAATATTATCCACTATCTTATCTTTTGATTGGCCAATGTAGCCACCCTAATGTTTGCTATATGCCAGGAAGAAATGTCATTGTGGGTACCGTCCCCATTTACTGAGATCCTGGTGATGGTCTTGCTGCAGCTGGTTAAAACCGCCCTGACTGCTCCTTGGAATGACGATACTTTTCTTTATGGTATTGTGTACACACAATTCTCTAATTTCGAGTGTATAAGCTGTGGTTTACAAATGAAACTGATCATTTTCCTGGAGCCGAACTTGTTCCACACTCAGAACCAAATCCAGCCACGGAGTGAGTGCAGCCCAACAGCCACACTCAGCGTCCTTAGAAAACCCTCTTTTGTAGCCCCTTCCCACGCTCCACATCCAAATCATCAGGAAAACTGCTAGCTCTGCCTTCCAAGGGGAAATAGAAGACACTGATCAAAGGGTACAGAGTTTTAGTTAGCCTAGAGAAATAAATTTTAGTGCTCTAGTGTACTGGATGGTGACCTCAGTTGTTAATAATATATTGTAAATTTTTTGTCATTAAGTTTACTGCTACATTTTAGATATACATAGTGATCACATTCATTGTATGGAATTTGTACCTGTACATGATATATCTTGATTCTTATTTTTCCCCATTCCTCTCCCTTCCCTTCTACCCCTCTTCCCTTCTTATTTACAAGAGTTATGTTTTTATTTTATCTTTCTTTTCTTGTTGTTTTTCTTTTCTTTCTTCCTTTCCCTCTCCCCCTTCCCTTGTGCCCTTTCTCATTTGAACATTTTCTTCCTATTTCACAATACCTATTATACTTTTTGATCCTTATTTCCACTTTCAGTTTCTCACACTAGAGAAACAATGTGATATTTGCACATGTGTGTCTGATTTATTTCACTTAAGAGGTGCCTCTAGGTGCATCCATTTAGCTATAAATGTCTCAAGTTTATCCTTCTTTATGGGTGAGTAGTACTCCATTGTATAAAAAACCCACATCTTTATCCATTCATCACTTGATGGGCATTTAGGTTCTTTCCAAGATTTAGCTATTACAAACTGTGCTGCTATGAACATGGGTGTGCATGTATCACTGTGGTATGATGCTTTATATTCTTTCAAGAAGATACTGAGAAGGGGAATAGCTGGGTTGAATGGAACCTCTAAGTCCTAGTTTTTTGAAGAATCTCCATACTGATCTCCACAGTGCTTGCACCAGTCTATACTTCCACCAACAGTGGAGAAGGGTTCCTTTTTTTCCCCATAGCCCCACCAGCATTTGTTATTGGTTGCTTTCTCAATAAAAAGCCATTCTTTCTGGAATGAGATGGAATCTCAGTGTTGTTTTAATTTGTGTCTCTTGAATGACCAGTGATGTTGAACATTTTTTCATATACTTACTTGCCATTTGTACTTCTTCATCCATACTCCCAAAATTGTTATACAGATTTAATGCAATCCCAATCAAAATGCCAATACCATACCTCACAGAACTAAAGAAAACATTCCTAAAATTCATTTGGAACCAGAAAAGACTTAGAATAGCAAAAACATTTCTGGGAAACAAAGGCAAGGCAGAGGGCATCACAATCCCTGACTTGAAATTATACTACAGAGCTACTGTGATAAAAACAGCATGGTACTGGCAAAAAACAAAAACAAAAACAAAAAAAAGACCTGAGGATCAATGGAATAGAATGGAAGATGCAGAAACAACTCCAAACACACTCAACCACCTTATCTTTGACAAAGGGGCTAAGCACATTCACTGAAAGAAAGATAACCTCTTTAATAAATGGTGCTGGAGAGCCAGGGATTTAGCTGAGTGGTGCTGCCACCTGCCTCACAATCGCAAGGTCCCAAATTCGATCCCTGGCACTAAAAACAAAAATAAAAATAAATGGTGTTGAAAAGTCTTGCCTTTCCACATGCTGAAGACTAAAACTAAACCCATATCTCTCACCATGTACTACACTAAAATCAAAATGGATCAAAGATCTAAATATTAAAGCAGAGCTGGGGGCCAGGGATTTAGCTCAGTGGTTCCTCCACCTGCCCCGCAAGTGGAAGGACCCAAGTTCGATCCTCAGTACCAAAAAACCCCCCCCAAAAAACCAGAGCTGGACTTAGTGGCTCATGCTTGTAATTCCAGCACTCAGGAGGCTGAGGCAGGAGGATCACTGCAAGTTCGAGGCCAGCCTGGGCTACACAGTGAGTTCAAGTCCAGTTCAAGGTCTCTTGAGAGAACTTGTCTCAAAAAACCAAAACCAAAAAATAAATATTAAAACAGAAACACTGTATCTGCTGGAAGAGAGAATAGGTGGAACTCTTGAAGACATTGGTGTAGGGAAAGATTTCATGAACAAAACCTCAGTCACACATGAACTAACACAAAGAATAAGCAACTGGGATCTCACTTTATTAAAAAGCTTTTGTACAGCAAAACAAATAACCAACAGAGTAAAAGAGACAACCAACAGAGTGGAAAAAGATTTTGCCAGCTCTTCCTTAGACAAAAGACTGATATCTAGAATAATAAGGAACTCAAAAAAAAAAAATCGAACTCCCTAGATTTAAAGACCCAACCCAAAAATGGGCATTTGAGATGTAGTGTAAATTTTTAAGTTGTTAAAAAAGATTTTTAACATTCTTATTACAAAAAATGGTATATTGGTGAAGAGATAGATATGTTCGCTTGACTGAATTTTTCTGTAACATATGTATAGATCAAAACATCACATTGTACCCCATAAGTATATATAATTTTTTGACCATGATAGTCATGTATCAACTAAGGACGGGGACAAATTTTGAAAAATGCATTGTTAGTTGATTTCCTCATCAAATGAGCATCACAAGTGTGTGCATACACAAACCTATCTAGTACAGGTCAGTAACCTGAGGTGGCCTCTTGATGCAATCAAGAGACACAATAAACAGGAGATGAATGAGGCTGCTGTTGGCATAACCCAGCACACTGTTTGCAGTAAATGTTTATTTTATTTTATTTTTGGTACCAGGGGCACCAAACTCAGGGCCTTGGGCTTGCCAGGCAGGCGCCAGCACCACTGAGCTAAATCCCCAGCCCAGTAAATGTTTTTTAATAAGTAGGAGTACGCCCTAAATTAACAATGAAAAGTATAGCATCACAAATAATAAATCAATAACATAGTTGTTTCTTACCGCCCTCCAGTATCATGTGTTGTGCATATTTGTACATGCTACACTTTTACACAGCTGCCGGGACACCAGGTACACACCACCAACAAGGGAGTGATGCTCTGTGCTATCGTGTTATGCCAGGTGGAACATCCTCTCCACTACAACCTCACGGGATCACCATTGGGCGTCAGTGATGACTAAAACGTCACCATGTGGCACAGGAGTATAAAAATGAATATGTTTTTTAAGTGCAGCACACCTGGAAGCAGCATTCTTCTTACCAGCTCCACTGCTCCCTCCAACCCTCTCACCGCCCCTCCTTCCCATGGCTTACGAAGTGGATTCCTCTCCTAGCTCGGCCCAGCCCTGCTTACCCCAACAGCTTATTCTCATTGACCAGAGTGAGCCTGTTAAAACATGTCACCTAGTGTCCTTCCATCTCCCTCAGAGTAAAAGCCAAAGCCCTCCCACGGCCTGCAGGTCCCTATAATCCCCACACCTCTCAAGCACTCTACCCTCTCTGACTTGTCTCCTATTATGTTCCAGCCCCCAGGCTCCTTGCTGTTTCCTGAAGCCACCAGAAGTCTCCTCTGGGCAGGGCTTTGCATGTATCTCCTCTTCCCCAAACTGGTGGCAGGATTCCCTCCCCTCCTCCCTCAACTCTTCCTCTCCCAGCCAATTCTGAATTCCAATCAAACTGCTTCCCGCCAGGGCACCCACAGTCATTGCTGTCTTCTTTAATGTTATTGTTGGCAGGGACTTTTAGCTGTTTCATTTTCTGATGACCAGTCCCTCGTAGGCTCTTAACAAATGTTTGCTGAGTGAATCAATAGTGCCTGGTGCATGTAGATGCTCAATAAGTGTTGATTATTATTTAAAATAATAGATTATATTTATCTGGAGGTATGTTTTAATAACATACATGCAAATAAGAGATAGATAGATAGATAGATAGGTATGCCTGCCTATCTCTTGCAAATACTTGCTGAGACATTTCCTATTGCAGCAGTTTACATTATCAAAACAACATCAACCATGTAGCTGGCCCAAAAACTTGGATGAGTACCGGAATCACCAATGGAGCTTATGAATTATGAAGATAACTGGGCTCTGCTCCTTGAGGTTTTGATCAGTGTGTCTGCAGTGGGGCCCAGGCAACACTTTTATTTGACAAGCTTCA